ACTGCCTGAAGGCGGTGCTGCAGTTCTCGGTACACAGGCGCTCCCCCCTCGCCGCCATTCCCAGGCAAGTTCCGAGCGAACGTCACTCTGCACTGTGGAAAAGGGCTGGATTGGGCAGGGGAGCCTGTGCAGCACTGCGCAAAAACTGAATGAGAGGTTATAGGCTATGAGCTAGATACAGGATGCGAAGCCTGAAGAGGGGAATAGGGGCCTTATTTCCCTTAAGAAGCGCTCGAAAAAAATCGCCAAGAAATCAAAAATAGCAATGGCCAAGCTGATTCCTTGAAGGTAGTACGTACTTTTGTGTGTTTCCTATTCTCCATGTGTTTTCCTTGCCACTTGTTTATATTACTTGAGAATTACGATCTGTTGGAATGAATAATGACAGCCAGCTGTCAACAAGGCATTGCTTGTCCTCGAGAGCTGTGAAAAGAAAGCTTGCATAAATTAGCGTTGGGCGATAACTCCGTCAAAAGTTATTTTTATCCCCAACAAATATTAGTAGAGTAACTGAAAACAAGCAAAATCCCGAAGTCCGTGGAAAGAATCTTAGCGGATGTACACAGAGGAATAGAAGGACAGGAAAAGACACAAACTATGCGATCTTAATAATAACTTATTTATAATTCACTTATTATTTATATTTAGTTGTTACTAATTTGTAGAAAAAACAAAAAGTTCTAATGGGCCACTAGAATACGTAGCATTCTGTCTAAGAAAGCACTGGGTTTTCCAGGCACAGCGTAATTGAAAGGATAGAGGGCGATGTGGATTTTTTAGCTTTATTTTCCATAGGGGGAGGAGCGAATTCGAAGAAGTAGTTTAGTTTCCGTTTGGCAAGTGCCCTTAGACGGAAACTGCGCTGTCAGCTATATCCTCCCTCTGCACCAAATCATGCGGTATTGATTAATCCCGTTTCGGGATAAGCCACGCATTCCGCTTTCATTCAGAATCCTAGATGCTTTTGAATGCGATTTGACCTACACAATGAAGTCTGAGGAACAGTTGATGCACAAGTAAAGGCTATGTGATTCTGGTATCAGGTAAGCGGACCTGGGACAGCCTGTCTGAGAGCTGATCCAGACTTTGTTGAAGTGTGCCACTTTCGGCCACTTCAGCGATCCTCCCCGACCACAGTTTGGGATTTTTCCGAGATCTTCAGATGATTTGGAAATTCCAGCTACATTCTCTTGCGTCGCTCCTGATGATATGCTAGAAAGTTGTTTGCCTTTTCTTGGTTTTGACGATTCTTCACAATTTTCCAGTGGCAGCGATGGAGATTATGATTACAACTGCCCAAAACGGAATATACCCATTAAAATAACACAATGACACGTTAAAATGACGTACGCAGCCACGCCCTATCATCTTCAAGATATGTGGCATAAATCTCAGCTAATTAAACTATCCGATTATGTAGCCCTTTCCATGCTGCATTTGACGGGAATTGGTTCATGGAAAGGAAGGGAGTAAAGAGTAACCAGCAGTCTATGAGTAAGTATCCTTGCGAGTAAAGAAAAGCCCATCAAACCACGACTGACTGGCAGATGGCTGGTGAAATCAATCAGGAGCGTGCCAAAAACTATTGATGGTAATGAGCAAATACTAGAAGAACACAATGAATGTGACAAACACTTTGATGATGGCGGGTTGCCAGCGAGATGTGACGTACGCCTCGTGGCATCGCCAGCAATTCATTATGGACAGCCGCTGCCCTCGAACACAATGAATCATGAATTTGCATACAGATTACTGCAAACAGCTGATTGAGGGTTCCTGAAGGTGACCAACGAACATTCCGTTTGTGAACCTACTGACTGGAGAAAAGCTGCAGTCGGCGTGAATGCCAGGGTCAAGTACACTCTATATCTCGGACATGGGAAGGGCGTGACTACGCACTTCAGTTGAAGACTGCGTGGGATCGGTTATTGTGGAACATTTCCACTTGAGCTGTCGTCTCCCTGTCCTAGTCCTGACAAAAGAATGATTCGTTTTGAATGGAAGTATTCCATCAAAAGCGCAGCAGCTGCTTACGTTCGAGTGGAAAAGGCTGTCACGCCCTCCACATCGCCAAGATATGGAGTATACCAACTCAACTATCGCAGTTTCCGAGATGAGGTGGAGGTATTTGACCTGCTCGACCGGAGGCCTAATGTGAAGGAGTTAGCATCAATTCGAGGAATTCCAGGAGAAGCTATAATTCAATATTTTTTTCAGCGATTCCCAGTATTTCAAAAAATAGCACCACCTGCTCGATGGGTCTGGGATTGCCCACAGTGGCCACTGCACGTCGTACGCTGGTAAATCACCTGCGGGGTGGGATCTTGTCACCCCGCAGGTAATTTACGGTGCGGGGAGGGGTCGTATTTAGCCTGATGGAATTTTTCTGCTCATTTCTCGTTGTGCAGGCGGTTGTGAGAGCTTGGGGAGGGGTCGTATTTGCCACCCCGTCTCGCTCGACAGCAGTTTTGGTGGAAAAGGGATCGTTTTTTGTGCCCTAACAGTGTCGTCGGGTTTCGGTTAGGAGATCCATGCTGCGGCGACGCGGCGGAAGCAGCACACACTGGGACCTAATTGATTGAACATAGAAATGCTACAGTACTTCAGTAAACTGCCTGGGCACTACAAGCCAGCTTGTGCGTGCGCCTCTTGTGGTGCCGCAAAGAGAACAAGGTGCAGTGGAAGCGGGGCATGTCGTAGCGTGGGTTGGGCGGGGAAGGGGGGAGGAGGAACTTTCGCCTGATACGAAACTCCCCAGGATTTTTTTCTCTCATTCCGCGACCAACCATTTGACCAAACTTTCCTAAAATTCTGCCGAAAGGGGTAGGTAACTCCGACCAACCGTCAGAAATAGTAGTTTTGCCGCGCCGCCGTCTGTGCGGACAGGAGGGTGAAGGGCATACGAAGTGCGTGAAACGGTAAATCAACAAGCTGAAAGTTACCTCCGCTTGCTGACTGTGACTGTGTGTCCCCACAAATAAACCAACTCCTTCTAGCTTCACCAATAGGACTCCCTTGTTGGGCGACTCCCAGCGCCACGACGTCGCCCTGACAGACCAGCCGGTGTCTAATCCCGATGATCCGCCCCTTTGCCCCTCGCCACCGCCACCCCGCCATCACCCTCATCGATTTTTTTTCCAAATCGTCGAGGCATTCTCGAATTTCGTTAGGACCTCTGATCAATGTAACTGACCCCACCAAATCGCCACCGTGTAGCGTCCAAGGCGAAGCACAAACAGTTGATAGATGCGTCTCTATTACGGCGCGAGTGCGTTCTATGGATAACGCTGGACCAGATAAGCATGACGCCCCCCTGCAACAGGCCTGTCACACAGTTTGAACGCTGTTGAAACTTTAGAAAAAAGACACCAATAGTGGCAAATCTGCACAGCCGTTCAAAAAAGGCGTTTATGACTCCAGTCCATGTCACTTGCAGGACGTACCCCGCCTGCTTTTGCGCTAGCACGCTTTCAACATGTCTTATAGTTTGATGGACCAGGGCGGGCGCGCGGATTTCAAGTGGCCTCTGCCTTCTGACCTTCGTAGCCGTGGGCAAACCGCAAGGGAACTCAAAAAGTGATAAGAGAACATTCCACGTTGACTTTCTTGTATGGTGGTAATGACGATATCAGCGCGAACAGTCTCTACTGAACATTCCAAGTACAGGTTTACTCGACTTACGTTTCGGATTCCTCGCCTGCTTCGTAGCCTGAAGAGCGGTGGTGAAACATTTGAGACTGATCTACTCGAGAACCTTGTTCCTGGAGACAATCCTTCTAGAATAGTAGACCACCAGATAGGTATCGGACAATCTGATGTGTTACGGGCTTACCTGGATGTCTGTCACGGTGAGTTGAGGTCCGACCATCGAATAACAGGGGCTCTTATGGGAGTAATGAGCACTATAAACTAAACCTCCTCGACCGTACCGAAATGAGGACAGAACAGAGAGCAAGAGTGCGGGATAATAACCCGTGACCTAGCGCCCTTCCTCGACCTTTGTGAGATTTTAAATCCTAAGAGGTCGAGGCGCTATGGCGCTCATTAAGAGCAAGCAGTACGTTGAATCGACAAGTCGATACGCCTAGCACGGAACCCCTGAGCAGGCACAGCAAGGCGTCTTTTCCAGCCAAGGTTACCGTTAACAGCGCCTAACCAAGGTGCAACATGCAGACCCACACGCCCACCGCAACCGCCCGCCCACAAATAGCCCATTAGTCACATTGACGCTGGTACTCTTATCGCTTCATATATGATCTCAATCATGGATACATGAATACATACGTATATCTATCAAAGCGCTTACTGGCACGCTGCCAACGAGAAACTCGTCCAAAAAAGCTCGTCCCGTGCCGGGCAGAACGAAGGTTTCCTCGGTCTTTTTGGACGTTTACCTTTGCTTTTTCGTCATCCCCCCACTATATAGCACCCTACTAATATTGTTGAGCACCCTGCTTTTATTGTATTTGTATTGCCTTATGCCTTCCTATGCCCTCTCCAAGGTTATCATCCCGAATTCAGCTAGCTTAAATGATTCCCAAGAGTATAAACAAAAGTTTCTGAATCGAAGTAATGAGTACCCATTCATAACATCGGGCAAGCATGGAACTGGCCCCAGTGGATCACCTAGCCGTCTTTCATTTATTTTCTTGCGCTTTTTTCCTTCTTTCTCCTCCTTTCCTACCATTTTCTTTTCTTCCAGTCATCCACGAACCATTGCTTCAAGTCTTTCATCTCCATAACACCAACAACAAAACAAAGTATGTCTTCAGCACAAAAAATTACTAAATCACTACGAAATCCGTACCTCACAGTTACTGCAAAAAAAGACTGCGAGATGAAAATAACTACATACAAATGAGATGCTCAAAATACAAACAAAAAAATAGGGTACGTTAACAGGGGCCCGAAGGTTGCAGCAAACATACAGACAAAACAAAAATTTCTACATTACCAGAAAGTATAGATATAAACACAACCGAGCTTCGAAATGTAACATTTTACTCACGAAGAGCAACAAACTGTTGGAAAGTTTCCAAGACATTAGGATCGATATCAGTGCTGGAGAATAGCTCTCGTCGAAGATCTTCTGTGAACTCGTGGAGATCCGTGCCATGCTATAACAAGCGTTTCACTCAGATTAAACATTTCAGGGTCACCCAGAAAACCAACGGGGCATGGCTCGGAGAGGGCGTGTGACGAGGGGTGGTTATGGCTTGGAGCGCAGCCAGGACAGATTTCCCACCATTTGTAGCGGGCTCAGGATGGTTTCATTGGTGGGAAAAGGCCGCCCTGGCAACGCTCCAGTCCACGATCCGTCACACGCTCCAACGCTCCATCGGTTGCAGGGATCATGACTGTAGGGTAGGTCATTTGATGCCAGCCCTAGACCATGCACGTCCTGTCATTGGGGGAAAACTTGGCCGATTACGACCCTCCT